CATCCATCCAATCATTCATTCATCCATCCATACCATCCATCCATGTCCATCCATCCCATCCATCATCCATCCATGCCATCATTTATCCATGCCAAATCCATCATCATCCACTCCCATTCATCCCGCCCTGTTCCATCGAGACAACACCCTGTAACCGCTTTAAAGAGATTTAACAGTCTAGCAGTCTCTTTTATGAATCTTTTTCTGTGTTGGTATTTACCCGAAGGCGATATTTAAATCACCCAAGCGCGTGTTTACGCCGCCAATGTATTACGTTCGTGTTTTGCCTCGTGTTTTCGGCATCTGATGTTCGATTTAATTGTGGCAGCGATAAGTCCTAACGTATGGTTTTAAGGTATGTCTATACAATCTTGCTCTTATAGACCTTATTGCGTGATTATTTTTAATCGTATTATTAGATGGAAACGATAGCTTATCGCATACAACCCAGTCAGAAATAGGAAAAATGTACGGTGCACAAGTTGCTATGTACTGCCTTCGCTAGGTCAAAGAGAAAGATGAGAACTGAAGCACAGAGAGAGCCAGAGCATTGACTTCCGGTAATTAAATGATTCGTGTACTGGCCCAATGCGTACCTTACGGAATGTATGTCGCGCCAATGGATAGCACATGAGAATCGGAGCGAGGCGAGAAGGAGGTACGGTGGGGAAAGCGAGGAGAGCTAACTGTCGAACGTGGGGAAAAGAAATGTACCGATGAAACTAGAGGAAGCAAAAGTTAGACAGGTACATAAGTACTCAATTAAAGCATTAAAATATATAATAGGAATAGATCAGAATATGGGTGAGTGATGGTGTGTGTGATGTGGTAGTGATGAGTGATGTGTGTGGTGTGGTGATGTTGTGTGGTGTGTGTATGTCGTAGCGTGTGGTGTGCGAGTGCGTGCGTGCGTGACGGTGCGTGCGTGCAGTGCGAGAGAGATGAATCGTACGTGCGTGCGTGCGTGTGTGCGTGCGTGAGGCGAGAGACGGTGAGATGGTTGGTGATGTAGTGGATGTTGGTGTATGTTGTAGTGCGGACAGCGAGGGAGTATACAGTGCGGTAGGATGGAGTGTTGTGTGTGCGGTACATGTGGTGCGTGCGTGCGTGCGTGCGTGCGTGCGTGCGTGTGTACGGCGTGCGTGAAGTGGCATGGGTAGCGTACATACCTTTGTGGCGTACGTGTTTTGCGTGAAATAAAAAGAGAAGGGAAAGGGCCGGTACTAGCTGTCTGGTAATAACGAAGAAGGGAGGAAATAAGAAGAAGAACGGAACTAATACATATATTTATAGTAGAGAATGAGATGCGAGCAGACGGTATGAGCCTCATATGTGTTAGCATAATAGGGAGATACCGAGAAAGAGGAGGCCCTGGCTTAGAACAATGTCAATGTTAGCCATTGGTCAAAGCAAAAACCCGATTCCAATCGTTTTCACTGACTAATTGACGGATTCGTTATATCAGGCGAGTTAATAATGACAAGAGTTATTCATGGCTTTGTCCATCAATTTTCTCACAATGTATTGTCCACGCAGGAGAGTTAAGACATTGTCAATTACACAAACACAGTCGAGCGGTTACTAATTGAGTATCGTCGGTAGAATTAATACTCCCTTATATCGATGTGAGCTCGCTGCGGATGCTCTTTTTAAAGCTAAAATAGTGAGACAATGAAACAAGAAAGCGCTTTTCCGGAATTAGTGAGTGACTAGCGACATGGCCATGCCAGAAAGCTTCTAATATTTATGTATAATAGGCATAAATCAATAGGCCCTATTATGTCATGTTAACGTAAATGGCGTAATAACTGATAATGCGTTTTTGCCTGTGTGCCTAAGATTCTATTGATTCCTCTGCGGCGTGGGAATCACAAAACAGATACGGAAAACGAGCTACGGAAGGTAAGAAGAAAACTTGACATATCCGCGTCAGGCTCGACACTTTATTTGTACACGAAGTCAATATTATCAAACATGCTGGTGATGCATTGCTGTGTGATTCTCTCCTATATATAAGTTCAAAATACGTGTGGTGACAGACTTTTTCACAACCTCGTCTACACCATGCGGCCGTGGACTTTACACAGGCTGTGCCATGGTTGATCTGTGCTGTTGACTACCGAAATGTTAATCAGACTCACCAATTAATATTCGCATGTTCGTGATATTACATTATTCCATCTATGTAATCATATATTATCAGGCGTCGAATAAAAACAATCTTGTTATGGCAACGCGAAGATGTGTTTTAAACAACAACCTGACCAACTTTTGTCGCTCTGTTTCTCTCCCTCCTTCCCTCACCCACTTCTCTCCGCCCCGCCTTGCATCCTCTCACCTCACTCCCTTTCATGATATATTTAGGATTCCATTATAGTTTCTTCTATTCTGTCGCTCTCTTTCGATCCCTCTTGCACACTCGCGCTCCGGAAGGGTGAGACGAGAACAGACGAAATTCATATCGATAAGCAAATGCATGTGCAAGAAGAAAAAATTAGATAAAATTAAATTAATATTGTAGATTATAAAGAATAATAATAACATCGCTAACGATGCATTATTCATTGCCGTCCACCCTGCTAATGTTTCACCCACTGTACCGCTATTCGCTATTGAGGCAATTCTACTCGTAAACAATATTAATTCTCGCGCAATACAAACATGCAGCGTTGTCGGTGCGATGTGTGTGGCATGTACTTGACCTCTGTGTGTGCTGACTTTTACAGGTCTGCTGAACAAACTCGGTATAACATGCATGGGCACGCGAGATCTTCACCTAATCCGATGTTTCAGGTATGATAAGGAAATGACAAACGAAATTCCCGTTTTCACATATCATATATACCTTTCATCAGGATACGCACAGCTACAATATTCCCTTCGTCGCATAACGAAGACGTTTTTCGCGTGCGCTATACGCATCGTTCGTCGCGCTAAGGTGTTCTCCGCCATGTTGTATGTCGAGTCAGTTTCGTCTATTATTTAGCTATATATTTGTCGCGTGGCCTCCGATAGTCTAACGTGGCTTCGACACTATATTACTGCTCACTGAATCTAAAATGCGATATTCTAGTTAGACACACATAGTTCAGATTATACAGCATAATCGTGGAAACGTCCTGCAATGACACTTCAGTGACGCTACAACGTATACACGCGGACGCATTGATCTGCACGGCAACGGATCTGCGCTTGATGAATGGCTAGGTCGTGCTACTCGTAATAACTGTAATGCACTACCTACCTAGTATAACCCGTTATATGTATATATATATATATAAATATATATATATATATATTATATATATATATTATATAATATATATATTATATGTTTACGTTCATAATGACGAGATTCGCCACAATTTTCTGACCATCAATTAGTTTCTGATTGATGGAGTGCTCGATGAAAACGGACAACTCCAGCTGGTGATAGAATTGGCCCAAAGAGAGAGAGAGAGAGAGAGAGAGAGAGAGAGAGAGAGAGAGAGAGAGAGAGAGAGAGAGAGAGAGAGAGACAGAGGGGAGAGACAGAGTGAGTGAGAGAGAGAGAGCGAGAGCGAGAGAGCGAGAGGGAGATAGAGAGAGATTTACACTGGTCAACTAGTCAGAAATATATGTTCACCGCGACCACCTCTCACTGCTATACCCAAATATCACTCGTGTTTACGTGGTAGGCGCAAAACCGAATGCATTAACAATCGGTTATATAACGCATAGCGATCAGCGCGTCAGAGTCGATAATTATTTCACAACTGCCACGCGACCCAATAGGGCAATGGCGTGACGACGTAATGATGACGACACCTACACACTCTAATGGCAACAAACTCTTTTACAGGCGGAACCCCGAAATGGACTCGTAATGGCCAGTTAGGCGAGCAGCGTTCGCACATCGGATGGAGACGCCGCCATATTGTGCACGCGGCTGACGCGAGCGCGCATCGACACGGAACAATAACAAATTATTAGCATCAAAGTTGCCGGCCACAGCACAAATGCAGAGCTTCCGTTCCAACACGGCATTGCCCTATTATCGAACATGCCCAATTAAGCGGGGGGAATGGCACTATCTGCCGTTAGAACACCTGTTAATGTGATTAGGTGCGCCTATAATACAGGTAAATGGTGAACATTATTAAACCTGGCTGGTCGCGGCCACGGATGTATGTTGTGTTCGAATATGTGCGTGTATATATACATATATATATATATATATCTAACACTATGCATGCGCCCGTGCGGATCGATGCAAAGGTGGCCTCGGCGCAATGACGCAAACGCCAGCAATTACATTGCATGGCAATACACCTTGCACCGATTGATTCACTCGGTATAGTCATGCTGTTGACGACAGTTCGTATATGTGTACTGCATATCTGCTGCATATGAATTGTCAAGCTGACGTGCGCGCGCACGCGAAAACATCGGACAGCGAATGCAAACCCGTGTTTATGTGAACGGTTCAAATGCGGTTACGGAGAGGCGTTAAATGTAAGGGTACCGATGCCGCTCCAAGCAGCTCGCTGTAGAGTAAACCGAGTAATAGATTAGAATATTATCCTATTTTCAAAGGGGTTTGCCTTATCGACATAGTGAGAGAACATATTGTCTTTTTGTATTTTTGGAAAGGGAATCGAAAATATTTAGTGTGTGGTTAGTGTGCTTTCCAGTGTGTGGGTGTGGTCATGCGTGCGTGCGTGCGTGCGTGCGTGCGTGCGTGCGTGCGTCCGCCCGCCCGCCCGTGAGTGTGCGTATGCGCCTGCGTGTATGAGCGGTGTGTGCATGCAGGCGAGTAGGCACTACAACTGAAACATGCAAACTTCATATAGTTCAACATTCGCAATGGATTAGCATATCTCGATTGACTCATTGGGTGCATTTCCTGACAACTTCCATGATAGCAGAAATGCACGATGATATCATTCTAATGTTCAAACACAGTTGACATAAAATGCTGGGAAATGTACAAAGACGTTGTATACTAATAAAAATACCTCTATGTTTACAAATCACATACATATTCCTTTATTTAAAAATGAAATATCTGGAATCTCAGTCGCTGTACAATTAAGTTCCAACATATAATAACTTCCTATAACATATAACGGTGTTAATTATCTATAAAAACATAAACCATACTCTCGAAAACTTGTAAATAAATGCGCAACTAACAATTAAGAAGCAGTGAGATTTCAATAATTTTCTGTTTCACAGTAAAGTGGAACACATTACTGTACACAACATCATAAAAACATCACAGCGCAAGTTACACTCAAATTGCTCTGGAAGTAAAACAGATCTACTTAGGGGGGCATTGTTCTATAAACTAATTATAAACAATTACAAATTTAAAAGGATATTTCATCAAATCAAACAATGATCTACGTGAGAATGAGTTAGCTTTCATCTAAACGTATCATTATAAACAACAGCACAATGTAAAGCATGCACCTAAACTGATATGTGTACTTATTTAATATAACCACACATTGATTATCCCTCATCAATCACCACAGATTGTAAGAAAACATAAATACCACAGAGATGATACCAATAGCACAATACATAGTAATAAAATATTACTAATGTACTCTTGATTATACTTGCATAAAAGATTGCAAGTGCTAGTTAACCTAGAAATATAACGTGCACATATAAACAGCTATATGCATTTTGATTTTGATCATGGGTCCACTATCACTCACAATACAAGATCGAGCTCATCAATACAACACTCTCATTTCATGACGTTTCCATACTTATTATTAGTATAGAAGTTATATGTCTGAACATTAAATCTGAAAGATAAAAATTAGTAAATTCTGCATTAAATATCACAAATTATTTGCAGTTTTACGACACACACACAAACTAATACTGCACCACCATTATCGATCCTTTAAATGAACTAATTTGAAATAAGAGGTAGTAACTAGTAAACATACATTCTAAAAGACAACAATGATAAAAAATAAATCATGTACAAGTCTTGAGTGGACCAACCTTATGGAATTCTATGAATCAGGGTGTATATGTGTTATCAGTTCACACTACAGACTACTACTGTTAACATATTGAAAAAGAAAATGTAAAAACATCAACTAGAAGTGTTAACAACATATCGTATGATGAGAAACCAATATTGTTTCGACTTCAATGATATAGTATGTTAATTTCATACATGGCTCAATGTATATAAAGACATATTCTAATAAACTTTTGACTATGCTACACAAGGACTGATGCACAACTGCATATGAACCTGGAACATTACACATGGCAGGCTCATTTAAAACACATCTAGCAACTTCAATGTTGCAAAGCAGAAGCAACAATTTCACAACAAAGTTCTAAACGTGGCTGGTAATAAAAGTGTTCCTGTTGTTGAAATTATACACTGCAACCTAGAGTGAACCCTTGCTCGAGTTTCACCAATGTTACTACATTAGTCTTTGTTTCTGCAACAGCTATGGAAATGGCCTAATGTACAGATTAAAAAGTACAGTAAGACCCTGATTACACTAGCTGAAACTGAAACTCTTAAAAATGTCTGACGACTTCCCTCGTAAGTATACGCTAAAAATCAAAAAAACCATACAGTATTTCACCCATTCTAATGTCACCAATTATAATTTCACGACCCATCGACAATCGATCAGAGACTCTCTACCCACAGGGATCTCTCAATACTGTAGACAGTAGGCGTCTTGACAATGCTTGCATACATCACAAATTACTCTGGCCGACGTCGCCATGTGGGGGCGCCTGTTGTGGAAGCTCCAACGTCTTTTCCAGCAGCACGACGTCGTAGGGCGAGCAGCTCTCAAGCCTCAGCGTCATACACACGAGGCCGCACACTCCCTTCTCAAAGTCTCTGATCTCGGCCCACCACTTCGACAGATGCCACGATACCTGCACGACCGCAGCGTACAGCGACACGGCGACGACAACGACGAGGATGAGCGCCGGGTAGAACAGCACGAGCAGCGGCGCGACAAACAGTCTGTGCCAGAACGTCCGCTCGTCGGAAAAGTACAGCACCATGTTGTACCACGTGATCGTGCCCTGGTAGAACGTGACGGCCGCCGAGAATAGAAGAGCGATCGGCATGGCGACGACGCCCAGCGCGCAGACGTGCGGGCCGCTGCGCGCGCTGCACTCGCAGCGATGCTCCAGCACTTCCTGCTCCTCTGTGTAGCTCTTCTGCATTGCGTCCAGCTCCTTGCTGGTTAGCTGCACCTCCACCAGCTCTCCGACCTTCTGGCCGCGCGTGATCGTGCCCGTCCACGTCTGACCGTTGGTCTCGGCACCGGACTTCAGCCAGGTCGTCTCGCTGGCGGCGTCCGGTTCGGCCTGACCTGCCGTCGCCTGTCTCGCCTGATTTGACATCTCGATCTCGCTAGTCATACTGAAGAAATTTCGAATGGGCTTCCTGAGATGCGGGATGAGTCACTCGGAGATGTTAGGACTCTCTCGTAGCAGAGGCCCAGCATCGGAACAGCGACAGAGCAATGAGAGTGACCTTCTGAATGATCTACACTGTGAGTCACTGTCCAGTGTCCCGTGTCCGAGCACTTAACGTTACGCAACAATATAAAAACGACGGCCATTCACCAGTCCTTTCAGTCCCCTCGGATGTAAAGCGTGTACGTAGTAGCAGCACTATAAAACCATGTAGCATCGCTTGTGATAATTGCTTAAAGTGATAACTAGGCCTACAGTAACAAACTTTACTTTCAATAATTATTATCTTGCTAAATTGACAATGCCTGGGGAAATTATTTTTAATTAACGCCAAAGCCACGTCCAAACTACCGCATATTTAACCTTGTAAATTTAATAATTATTAACGTGACAAATCCACGACGTACGGCTTTTGGCTTACTATCTGATTACTATGTCTATCCTTTACGAACAACGGTGTACAAATAATATTTCATTCACTACAGAAACAGGAGCAGCCATCGTAGCGTGTGTATAAAATGACGTCATCACCTTAGGTGTGCTATCGTCTTCTGCCATCTGTCGGAAGAAATAATTTATAATGAAACACACAGGCAAATATACAATCATCAAGCAACGAGTAAAATGTCATCATAGTCATATTATTCATATTTCAATGCAACCACCTATATCAACCGCTAAGGTTATAATAATAACTTGGAGACTCTTAGATGAATTATATGACATGTACGGCATATGTCTCTGCATCTGTGTCTCCCGTTTAGCGAGCCCGAGTTCGCGAGTTAGGTGCTTCAGAACCATAGTTATATATAGGCCTATAGCCACACTTTCTAGTATATTATTTCTATGTTTACAACGCAAAACATCTAATAACAGCTACACGAACATGCAAAAAAACTGTCCAAACCTTCCACATACAGACGAGAGTAACATGTGGGGTTTAGCTAGTATTTCAATCAGAAGAGCCTCACCACATAGCCGAGCGTCAAAACGCGACCGTGCGCAAGATTTACTGAGAGAAAAATATTATTGAGAACAACCACTGAACTCGTGAATGACACTAGCGCCGAACAACGACAATAAACAATGTATACATGTGTAGTTTGAGTTTGCGTTGCGTGTTGGATGTTGAGAAAATTGGGACTCCGCTTATATCATAAGAGAGAAAGGGCGTTTCACATTTTACATAGTAAATTATTCCGGAGTATATATTCTCTCCTTTTTAAATACCTAATTACAACAAAATGTGATTTCTGTTAGAAGATATCAGGCATGGGCAAATACACGCCCGACGAAAAACCTTCCGCATGTTATAGGGAGGGGGTTGGAATATTTTCTGGCCTATTGCTATATGAAGTGATATTCTTTGGGCTCAACATTTTTTCGCATCTACTTACACCTGAGTATCTGCTCGCTACAGGTGTATCGTTTCAACAAAATTGGATATAAATATAATATATCGATTGAATATATTATATATTTATATATATTTTATATATATAAAATTGGATATAAATATATATCACCACACACTACTTCTCATTTACGACACTAGCGCCGACCAACGGCAACGAAAATGTACGGAATCGAGATGTTGATACGATTGGACCCTCTCAATACGTTTAACACTTTTTATAGAAAACTATTCCAAAATGTGTCCTCTCCTTCTAAAAAAGTACATTATTCCAACAAATGCGAGTTTTTAGCTTATAGTAAGCATGTAGGGCCTACACAGACAAGTCTTACTCTGTTATAATTCATCATACGTTTGGGAAATTTTCCGCCATAATATAATTAACGAAATGAGTCACTTGGATCAACATTTTTACATATCCAACTACTCCTGACTATGCACTCACTACTTGTGTATATCTCTAACAAAATCATATATACAGCGTCGTACCTAGGGGGGGGGCGGGGCTGAAGGGACGTTCGCCCACCTTCAGGCTATGGCAGCGGCAACGACGAACTGTCCACGGTCAGCTGTCCGAAACGAAAAGTGGACATTGCCGCCCCGGGGGAAAATGAATTAGTTACCGCCCAGAAACCACGTATCCGGTACCCAGGGTACATCGTACTCCGGTACGAGCCAGAACGATGCCAGCATTGGCCCAATACTGCTATGTTTGCTGGGATGGGGCTCAAAATTGCTAACTGCGCGCGACCACGCATGCTCTACACGCACTGCACACGAAATCGTTTCTTCTCAGGGAAAGGAGTGAAGCCGCCTAAAAGTATATCAGCGCATTTTAATGTTCGCCCGCCTGTCCTATTAGCAGCTGACTATATTACGTATAGCTACGTTATACATAGTTCACGTATTACATTATATCTGATTATATCCCACTATTCTGTATTTTACTGGCAGCGTTTGAACACGCTATAGCTACCTCTTTGAACGTTTGACTTATTTCCGTAAGAGCGAAATCACGTTCCGCATCCCGAGAGATAACTGGTCGTAGTTTCTAAATTCCGCACGCGCGAATTTCCCGTAGCCCGAGTTTCGCCGCTACGCGCCGCACTACACTGTATGGTGCGAGGGCGTGCTGCGTGCGATGTGTCGAGGAGAGGGCAGTGCGTACTCACTGATGGTCGTGAGCAGTCGGCCGTGTCGTCGCGGTAGACAAAGAAACAGCACGGCGACCCCGACTTGACTCGTGTGCGGACTGACACGCCGTCTGCGACTGCGTCAGGGGCGAGTCAGTGACCGCGAGTTCTTCTCTCGGGGCGTGCTATAAACGCGCCTGCACGCGTGTGAGATCGTCGTGGGATACGGTTTGACTTGCATATATACTCTGAGCGTGCGTTCACGAGGACTATAGAGCACATAAGATACGGAGGAATACGGCCTATCATTGAAGCGAGTGGTGTAAGTGCATGTTTTCACGAATACAAAGAAGTATATATATGTGTGTGTGTGTGTGTGTGTGTGCGTGCGTGCGTGCGTGCGTGCGTGCGTGCGTGCGTGCGTGC